TTTCTTCAGATTCACTTTGTCAGAAATAATTTTATACAAATGAATCTTTAGAATATATTTTTTTTACTTTTTCTGTACAATTTGATTATGGAATAACTAGTAACAGAGCTAAAGGTATCTTCCTAAAATTTGATTTTTTTTTGTTATGGTCTTAGATTCGAAGTAAGATCGACCTTCACTCATCTGTTTAATGGATGAAAGTTTCTTTTTATTAAATAAAATATGTTTATAAATATACCGCAAATGGGTTGCCTAAGAAAATACGGTTCAGACTATTTATTTTCTTTAAGTAAAAAAAAATAAATATCTCGACTTAGGTCCATTTTAGGGACAAAATAATAGAGAATGGTATCATAAGCAATTTTTATCATGATTTCTATGCTTTCCTTATCTGTACACATAAAGGAAAGTAAAAAATGGCCGTGACCGTATTTTCTTAGGCAACCCATTTGCGGTGTATTTAAAAACATATTTTATTTAATAAAAAAAAACTTTTATCCATTAAACAGATGGGTGAAGGTCGACCTTACTTATTCTGAACTATTAGAACTTATGTGTTATTCACTTAAGAAAATTTAAATTCTAAAGAATACCTAATTTTTATTTCTGTAATTTTCTTTAAATAGGTATTTTAATAACTGTGGCATTGTCAAAAATATCTTTTTATCGGAAAATCAAAATCAGTCTAATAAAAAAAATAACGATTTCTTCTGTGGATTGGTTCTAAAAAGGTTAATGTCTCTTTATTAGGCCCATATTTCCTACCTTATTTTTAAACTATTACATTAATGGTACAAATTGCTTAAGATCATGATTTTATATATTATTGAAATTGGCCATTTTAGAATCAAGCAGCATATTGTTTGTTTTATTACTAGTGTTGTATGATCGAGAAATTGTAAATTCTAAAATGAAGTACTTACAATTTAAATGAGCGCCAAACGTTTATTTCAAATAATACTAAAAGTGCAACCGTTTATTCATAAGGCAAAGTGCTAAAATAGGCGAGGCGACTTTTGTCTCGACTTAGATTAAGAGGGAAAGCCCACTCACGCGACATGTCGCATGCGATTTTTTAGGTGCGATTTTTAACAGACGACAAGCAGCGACACAGACGTTCAGTATCAAAATAGAGGTGGAAGAAGTAGTAACGGTGTTGTTTTATTCTGTTCGTCGGCGGAAAAAATTGAAACGACGTAGGTCCATTATTTATAGACCCTTATGTAAAAGGCGCATTTAATTTATAACATAAGGATTTACGTCAACACGTAGATAAGTTCTTCAAATATTTCGGAACAAGAGTAGTTTCATTTGACGAACTGCTAGCGCAGATTCCCGAACTAATATTTTTTTCGCTATTTTATTTCATTTAACTGTTCGATATTTGAGGTCGGTCTTGAATATCGGATATAAATTCATCTATATCAATACAACTGTCGGACATTTTTTCACTATATAGAACAGTCGAAAAGTTAACAGGAAACTCCAACTCTCAACTGGCGTTTCGCACGTGACTTGACGTTTGTATTGATGCTCCATATGAATCCATGATAACGCTGGCTAATTTTCAGCCGCGTGCGACCACGCGACAGAACCGCGTTAATGGGCTTTGAGTCATTTAAAAACATCTAAAGTATGGCCGCGTGCGATGCCTCGCTATCAGTCGCGCGCGACGTGTCGCATGAGTGAGCTTTCCTTCTAAAGATGTAATATACACCCATAAACATCATTAAGAGGGAAAGCCCACTCATGCGACACGTCGCGCGCGACTGATTGCAAGGCATCGCGCGCGGCACTACTTTAGAAGTTTTTAAATGACTTAAAGCCCATTAACGCGGTTCTGTCGCGTGGTCGCACGCGGCTGAAAATTAGAAATGACAAACCCGCGATTTTCCTGCCGCACGCGGCCAGCGTTATCATGGATACATATGGAGCATCACTCATACAAACGTCAAGTCGCGTGCGAAATGCCAGTTGAGAGTTGGAGTTTCCTGTTAACTTTTCGACAGTTCCAGTGAAAAAATGTCCGACAGTTGTATTGATATAGATGAATTTATATCCGATATTCAAGACCGACCTCAAATATTGAACAGTTAATTGAAATAAAATAGCGACAAAAATATTTGTTCGGGAATCTGCGCTAGCATTCTGCAATATTTGAAGAACTTATCTTCGTGTTGACGTAAATCCTTATATAATAAATTAAATGCGCCTTTTACATAAGGGTTTATAAATAATGGATGAACCCAGTACCTACGTCGTTTCAATTTTTTCCGCCGACGAACAGAATAAAACAACACTGTTACTACTTCTTCCACCTTTATTTTGATATTGAACGTCTGTGTCGCTGCTTGTCGTCTGTTAAAAATCGCACCCAAAAAATCGCATGCGGCAAGTCGCGCGCGACGTGTCGCGTGAGCGGGCTTTCCCTCTAAGATAGACTCGCCCTACACACTGTTTATCCAATCCAATGCACCTTTTGTCCGCATCATGGCGGGGAAAGGAGTATCGTACGTCGCGCATAGACGTAGTGTTTCGGGAGGGTTTATTAGATTTCATAAAAATTATTTATTGATCAAATCCTAATGACCTATACACGTTCAATATGTCTTTTGAAACAAAGGTATGTTTTCTTATAGGTTAAAATAGCTCAAATTGTATCTGTATCTGAGTATGAGTACTTATATAAATAATACTCAAAGCAAATGAGTACTTTTGCAAATTTTAGATAGTACTCGTGAAAAAATCGAGTAACGAGTATGTAGCACCTTACCCTCGTAAAGGTGAAATAAAGTTTTATTTAAATAAGATAATTGTGAATGGAATAGGAAGGAGAACTTGGCAAAAGAATAATTCGCCAGAAGGAGCAGTAAGAGGAGAAAGTAGAGGAAAACAGCAGACCATGCAGGAGAACAGGAGGTAAAAAAGTTCGGAGTTGGAGCAGAAAACAGAAGAACAGGGAACAAGTGAAAAGGAGCGAAGTGGAAGATTTAGATTTTTCAAATTCAACAACCCTAAAAGCTTTAGGATAAGGATATTGGAATGGTTTAACCTTTCCAAGAAGGAATCATTATAATATATATGCGCGCGTCAATACTAGTATCCTTACTCTTCAGCTGTACGAATAAAGAGTACTGAGTACTCTAAAATATAAAGTACTCCAAATATTTTGAGTATGAGTCCCATCAGGATGAAAGTACTTACGAGTACCAATTACAGAGTACTTTGGAGTACTCGAGTACAATTTTGATTACAATTTACTCGAGTACGGCCCAGATCAGCTTGAAAGATTCAAATAAGAACTTGTGTTAATTAATAAGGGTCGATTTTTAGACCTCGTCGACCCTCAAAATTAGTTTTCGTTTATGTCGACCCCTGGGAAACCGATTTCGACCCCAAGGGGTCGGTCCGACCACTTTGGGAATCCCTGGTCTATATGATGTTATTTCATTGTTGGGTTTTCCTGGTTTGGGAATCATTATCTCAACAGTTTTCCATAGTAGTGGAATATGTTGAAGTCTAAATGCTGCATTAATTATATTGGTCAGTCTTACTAAACCTTTTCGTGGTAATTTCTTTAGTATCTCTCCTGTGATCAGATCGAACCCGGGAGCTGTTTTTACATTAATACTATTTTTTATTTCTCTTTGTATTTCTTGAGGACTAGTTAATAATATTTTCTCTATATCACTAACTTCCTCTTGGTTGTCCATTTCAATTTCTTCACCTTCTCCTGGGTTCGGGTGGAAGATTCGTTTTAATTAGTTAGCAAAAGCATCCTATTTTCTGTTCGTATTGGGGGTAGGTGTTGAATTGGCTTGTTTATTTTTGTAACAACTTTTTATAATTAGTAATCAGTGATTTGGTCATCTGTGAGCTTTCTCAGATATTATTTGGTTTACTCATTTGTAATATTTTCTATCTTTCTTCGTAGCTGTTGTGTAAGTTTATTTAATATGTTTTTGTTCTCTTTGCTTCTCATTTTTTGCTACTCCTTTCGAGTCTTCATTTTGGTTTGTATATTAAATCCCTTATTTTTTTGGGATAATTAATACTTATAGTTTTCCTTTGTAATAATGATGTATTATTCTATGCAGCTTGTTGACCATAAATAATTCCGTTTCTGTGTCCAAATCTTTCACTGTCCTAATTTAATTCAATTCAATTTAATTCAAGTCTTTCAGCAAGTTCAAGTTGAAATCTTTCCCAGTCTGTATGTTCGTCAGCGTACGATTGAGTTCTCTAGTGACATTTTCACTTATTGTTAGAAGTATTGGGGATGGATCAGATATTAATTCCTCTACATCTTCTATCTTTATAAAATTTGTTGCAATAATTCTGGAAATAAAAAACTCCAGGAGGTCTGGTATTTTGTTTATATCGCTTGGCTAATATGTAGGTTTTACCGTAGAGTGCCACCTACATTTCTGATCTTTGATAGCCTATTTCAGTACTTTTTTTGCATTAAAATTAAAAATTTTCACCAAGACTTGACAAGAAGTTGTAGTCTTATATTTTGAGATTAAATCTGGGCGAGAAAAAGGCAGATGCAACAGTAAATAGGTACTTATTTTTTTATTTTAACAGCTAACAGTTTGTATTTCTTCAGCTTCACTTTTTCCTCGTTCATAGTGTGTTATGTTATTTTTAATAATAATAGAAGCTGTGTTTGTTGCTTATACTAGATCATATTTTTTGATACTGTTATCTTTAACACCGCATTCGGTTGTATAATAAATATTGCAAGAGTATAGTAAACATTTTATTAACAATGTGAACATTCACTGTTTGGTTCCAATTAATAGTGATATTCATAAAGTGGCGTTGAGAAACAGTGACAAAGCCTATGCATACCACACGTTATTCATTTACATGAAATAACAGCGAATTTTTGTTGTGGCAACATTCTGGCAACACATAAATGTTTGTTGGGTGCGGATAAAGAAATATAATTGAAGTCTAGCAAAAAAGCTTTGACTTAAGTTTGTATAATCTAACACTAAGTATCATACCTAGTTACGATATGACGTGACAATGTAATTGTCAAACATTTACGAATTGTCTTGTTATGTGTATATCGCCGTCAGTATTTTATATAGTAATTTTTATATTATGCTTCAGTAATGCATATTACATAACAAACAATAAAGTTAACGAGATATTAAATAGATCCCAAAGAGATCCGATTATCACTCAAACCTCTGCTCTAGTAAACGAATCGAAAGAGGTAGACGTTAACCCGAATATTTTAGGTGATGTTTGGGCAAAGGAAGGCCATTTTACTGATACGTACTTCAATGTACTAGAAAGTTTGACGGCCAATTCTTTGTCGGATAGGTCGATTAAAAATGATACTAAAAGATCGATGCAAGATAAAACTCTGAAACAGTTAAAATTTTTGTTAGACAAAAAATTGAAAGAAGTTAAAAACAACAAGAGAGAAGTTGTGCATGCACTCAGTAAGTATTTAAAAACATTCTAATTATGGTTTTAATAGTAAATTAAAATTGTATTTTTAATGTGCAAGTTTTTAAATAAAATTATTAACTTTTTAAAAATTGCATTTGTTGATGTGCTTGTTGCATGTGATCGAGAGGAATGACTTTTAAATTCAATATACCTACCATTCCACAAATGCTATAAGTTGAAAGGCTATTTTTACTTTCTTCTTAAAACGTCATTTCTCCCGCCAAAATGATAAAAGCACATTACTAAAAAATAAATTTTTTAATGTTAATTTTGTTTTTAAAATATGTTAACATAAAAGCAAGTCCTAGTGCCCATATACATAGATATGTCCTAATCTTTATTTTTTTGACGAGGTACTAGTTAACTTTGTGTATTACTAATATGCAGCCAAACATAGGTACACCATTGTATGTTGCATTGCCTAAGTGATGTCTAGAATGGGCCGAAGGCGGAAATTTTCATAAGCCTGTTGCGTAAAATTCGGTATTGCTACCTCCGAGTGTGACCGACGACGCTTCATCTGCCGCCTGAACACCTGAATTGAGGGCTAAGTAAGTTTTAGCCCTTCCTTGTTTAGAGCCAGCAAGCAAGGTCAGTGAATGGTCACTGGTCAGGAATATATTGAACGCCATATTATGATTGGAATAACCGAAACAAAAGGAGCCCTATTAAAGTTATAAATGCAGTGGAATAATATATTTTAATACATAACATAATACATTTTTATTTTATATTTATATAATTGGTTTCCCCTTATACTGGGGGGGCTATAGCCCTAACAGACAAGCCGCCACTGCATTTATGGAATAAAACTATTTTTGCCGTTGTTTGAGAAACTTATTAAAAATGCTTGGGCACGTCAATTTTTGTTTGTAATGAATCACATTTTTGTTATAAAAGTGTCATCACAGATTGCAACATTTGCCCTGAGTAAGTACACCTTTGAATATTTTAAAGAACAAAAGGAGCGAATTAATAAGATTATTTAAGAGGATTTTAAATTCTATTTATATTTTGTATTCCTTCTAGGTGATTTCAATATTCGAATATTCGCTATTTTGAACTAGTTAATATCCCGAAAATTTTATTAAAACGTATTTAGTCCAAAAGTTTAAGTTTTTAAATAACCACATACCCCTAGAAAATGAGAAATTATTTTTCCATCGAATAAAAAATTAAAAACATTTTCAAATGAGTTATCGCTATGGCTATTTAAAATATTCAAGGGGGTAGAGCTATAGCAGGGACAGAAGTTTGAAAGGCTTTTGCCAGTTCTACTACTTCATATATAGGATTAGACAGTTTTGACGCGGAGCTAATCAAAGTGAACGCGAAACATTTTTGCAGAAAATTATTTTATAGATGATAATAAAAATTTCATGTAAATAATTTAATAAATTGTGAATAGCTGTTAAAATTTTGTAGAATTTTGATGAGATATTACTTGTTTAAATAATTATTTGTAGCCCATAAATAGATACGTTTGCTAGATTCCGCCGGTACTAATTTAAAATGTTTGGTATTATTTTTATTTTACGATACGATTATAGCGAACAAATATTACCCGACAGGGTTTGACGTTTACCACCTTTTTACATACCAAAAGCCTTTCCAACTTCTGTCCCTGCTATTCGCTCATTGCGAAGTCATGGTAGGGGAAGCAAAAGCGATAGTAGCGGCTAGCTGCGGATAATTCGTGCATTTTAGGGCGATATTTTGTCATTTTGGCATATCAAATACACGTATACATTTTATTTTTTTTTTCAAAAAAGTAGGTAAAAACAATACAATAAGCAACCGGAGTTGCTGTGTTGAAAATTGTACAAATACTAGCAAAAAAAAGTGAAAATTATAAAAATTTTCTGTAGCAAAGTGGAAATTAAATCAAAGAAATAAATGGATAGGTGTACAATAAGAAAAAAAATTACCTTTATTTTTGTAATAATAACAGTAATACTGGAAATAGTAGACATCAGAAACTTGAAATAAATTATCATTTTACGATGTTCTTCAACATCCCTTTATTCTTAAATGTTCATTCAGCAAGGACTAGATTTCAAGATTTCTGCCTTTGATTATTGTATGTGGCTGGAATGCAATTTTGTGACTTATTGATGGGAAACCAGTTTTAATCATTCATTCTATGTTTTCTTTCGAACAAAAATAAAAATATAAATAACGATCGTTCTTTTATACATTTTAACTTCACGCTATTTAATGGTATTTTTTATTTTGACAGAATAGGTTAATTCTTCAAAGAACTTATTAGACTTAGGGCCCTATTCAGTAATTTATCGTTTATGGACGACATCTTTAAACTAACGACAGTTCAACCAACGACTTTTATAACGATAATTTTTGAAACTCTATTCAATAAGTCGTTACGTTGTTTCTAGTTACCAAATCTGAACGATGATTTCTAGTAAGTTAGTATTATAATTTAGTGTTTTGTGATAAAAGAACGTATGTTGATGATTATACCGGGTGTTTAAAGTGTTACAGTTAAATATCGCCGAAAATATGTATTTTATAAAAAAAAGTATCAGACAAAAGTTTTATAGTTTTTTAGGGGAAACATTTTGGCTAAATTAATTTTTTATAGCTGACCATAATATGGCCATTGGAACCCTATTTTTTTACATAGGTATTCTTAATGTTCATAAAAACATAAGAAACTTCTAAAGGAAACATTTTTTTATTGGACTTCTACTTATTTAGTAACACCTACTTGAAAATTTTGCTGCGTGAAAAAAAAGTTGGCCATATTATGGATAGCTATAAAAAAACGATTTTAGCCAAAATGTTTTCCCCAAAAAACTATAAAACTTTCGTTTTTATATAACAGGCGGTATTTAACTGTAACACTTTAATTTGAACACCCGGTATATTTGACATTTTTTTGGAACGTAAAATAAAAATTCTACCAGTAGATATATTCATTTGTTTTTCAGAATATATTAATTTATCGTTCTTAACCTACAACACGATCAGGGGGTCGATTCTCCATTCGTAGGAATTCTGTTTCTCGCGGGCCATTTTTGCTGGTCGTATTGTATGTAAGGTTTATTTAAATGAGTATGGATATATTAAAAAAAAAAATACGCGTGGCCCTCGGGGACTGCCGCGGTAAAGCTATTGTATAGCATTTTTTTATCAACTTATGCAATTATAATTATTTATTTTATTTATGCAGTATTTTTTTTTCTTTGATATTAATTCAAGTATTTTCTTTGATATTAATTCAAGTTGTTACACTTTTTGAGCGTGGTGACCGATAAGAAAACAATTTTTTTTCTTTCATTGAATAAATGAGAGGTTAATATTGTTTAAAATATTTTTATTATCTTACAATACAGGTTATTTAGGAATTTTTATCATTGAAACTATAGGTTTATGGTAACTGAAATAAAAAAACATAAGTTTGAGACTTGATATCCTCTAAATATCTGGAAAATACCACGTCAATGGTGGTCCCATATTTTGTTGTGGAGTCTTGTGGATCATTATTCATTTTCAAATTCAATTTTTCCGAAATTGTGCCTAAAGGCTGTATGTCACGATACTAAATTAAGTACTAAACTTAGCACTAAATTAAGTCATTAATTTAGTACTAAATTTAGAACTAAAAATATTTTTTTCCGTTTGCAACGATACCAATTTTTAGTACTAAATTAACTATAGGCGCACGCGCATTGACATATTAATACGTGAATTAAGCAGAGAAATGAAATATTCTGGGTAAAATAGACAAGTGAAGTAAAATGGTGTTTTTATTATCAATTTGACATGACAACAACCAAATACAGCAATGCTACTATAAACCACGAAAAAAACACAATAAAATCTACAAAATTAAACAAGCGAACTTTATTCAAGTCGATAATGCAAAATTTTCGCTAATTAAAAACAAAATGGTACAGAAAATACCGTCGTGTCAATTTTTTCTGTGAAAAACTTCTGCGCAACATTTCGACGCACTTTTAGTACTAAATTTAGTAGAAAATAGAACAAGTTCTAATTAATGACTTTTTTTAGTACTAAATTTAGTACTAAATTTGCTGTTTGCAACGTACATTTTTTTAGTACTTAAAAAATGCATTAATTTAGTTCTAAATTTAGTACTTAATTTAGTATCGTGACATACAGCCTTAAAAGAGATAGAATCAGTTATGAGCAGTTAGCAGCTAGTCTACACGCATACGTCTAGTCGCACGCAAACAAACACCGTGCCAAAGTCTGCCGAACTAAAACGACGACGATGCACGGCTTTCAACGTCGCACCGCTGTGCCGGTCGAGGTGGGGGGTGTTAGGTTTATTTTCATTACGGAATTTTTTTATTGAATAAATGAGAAGTTAATATTGTTTAACGCCGCACCGCTGTGCCAGTCGGAGTGGGGGGTGTTAGGTTTTTTTTCGTTACGCGTTACGGAATTTCTTGATTCTTGAATTTTTATATGTACAGGGTGTTGAACTTGTACCTGTATATATAATAATTTGGGGGATTTAATATGGTTTCCTGATTTGACTACATACGGGCATCAGGAAAGATATCACCCTGAGTATGTGAAGCTACATTAATTGCGTTGTTAAAGTTTGAAACAAAGTTCGTTGTTATGGAATATGGTGATTTTTATTGATTTTGGAAAACAGTCAGAAATACCCCGGCGAAGGGCGAGGGTCGTGATTGACCGACCGCCTTCGCAGTCTAACTCAAAGAGTTGTTATTAGAGAAAATTTAAATAAGAGCTACGATAAAAATAACGATTTACCAGTAATAGGTGTATTGAAGAATTTGAAATAATAAAAGATAATTTTGAAAAATAAGTATCATTTATATCAGGGACGGAAAAAAGACAGGTGCTGGAGAGGATATGGAGGTGAAAAAAGGGACAATTGAGGAGATACCAGAGAAAGAAAAAATGATGAGTATGTTGGCTAGGATGTTGAGTATGGTTGAGGAAGATCGGGCTAGGATGAAGAAATATAGGGAGGAAAATAGGAAAATGTTAGAGGAAGATGGGGCTAGGATGATGAAAATGTTAGAGGAAGATGGGGCTAGGATGATAAAAATGTTAGAGGAAGATAGGGAAATGATGGAGAAAAAGATGGATATGGCAGTGGAAGAGGTTCGTAAGGTGGGTAGTAGGTTAGATAATACTGAGGTTGAGCTAGGACAAGAGATAGAGTTGGTAAAAGTAGAAACAGATAAGGAAGTTATTAGAGAAGAGGTTATAGGTAGAATAGATGAGATAGAGAAGGTACAGGATGATGAGGTTAGGAGATTTGTGGCTACAGAGGTTAATGACAATTTAGTTAAGGATCAGGAAACAGTAAACATTGATAATAAAATAGCGGAAGAAAGAGGTAAGGGTTATTATAATGGGGTTACAGATATTGAAGTAGGGGGAAATTTAAAAATAAGAAGCCAGGTATTGTTAGAAAAGTTCAAATATGATCTGGTGTTAGATATTTTGTGGAAATGTGGATTTATGAACATAAAGAAAAAAATCTATAGGAGGAACAGGAAACGTGTAAGATTTAAAGAGGGGGATTCGTTGAGATATAGTGTGTGGTTAGATAAGGAAAAGAGGAATAGGAGCATTAGGAAACGTGTAAGATTCAAAAAGGGGGATTCTTCGAAACGTAGTTTGTGGTTAGATAAAGAAAAGAGGAATAGGAGCATTTGGAAACATGTGAAATTTAAAAAGGGACATGTTTAAGGCAGCAAGGGTACAAATTTTGGGACCAGGAGCTGTGAACAGTGCTCGGAAAGACAACAGGTAATTACTCATAAGGCAGCATTAGACCAGGTAATGAGGTCCGTTCTAGTCTAACATTAATTGAATTATGATTCCAAATGCTGTTTAAGGTGGATATTTTAATAAATGTTGGGTATTTTTGGCCATATGTGGCAATTCAATTTGCGTATTCCAATAATTTGAATGCTTATCAGTTTAAGGAGGAAAATAGTTATACAGTAAGGTTTAGAGGTAGAGAGAAAATTCGTGGTATTTTAATATACAGGATGTGTATTTGAGGCAAAGTTAGTGTAATTGTTATTATTGTGTGTTTGTAATGGGCTTTGAACATGGCAGATATGTGGCAAGTGTCGGTCTTGTCATGCTATTCCTGCGTGGAAATTTTTATATGTACAGGGTGTTGAACTTGTACCTGTACATATAATAATTTGGGGGATTTAATATGGTTTCCTGATTTGACTACATACGGGCATCAGGAAAGATATCACCCTGAGTATGTGAAGCTACATTAATTGCGTTGTTAAAGTTTGAAACAAAGTTCGTTGTTATGGAAAATGGTGATTTTTATTGATTTTGGAAAACAGTCAGTTAGAAATACCCCGGCGAAGGGTGAGGGTCGTGATTGACCGACCGCCTTCGCAGTCTAACTCAAAGAGTTGTTTAGAGAAAATTTAAATAAGAGCTACGATAAAAATCACGATTTACCAGTAATAGGTGTATTGAAGAATTTGAAATAATAAAAGATAATTTTGAAAAATAAGTATCATTTATAAAGAGATTGATTCCGAGATTGAAGAAGCAGGAGACATTGTACCTGGACATTGAGAGATAAAAGATAAGTACTAATTTGCATACTGAGATTATTATATTGAGAAGGACGTGTCAGATGTGACAGTAGCGGGACGTAGCAGAGAAGTGCAGATCTAGAGTAGAGTGAAGAGGATTGATTTTATTTTTTTAGAATATTACAGAAGCCGTTACAATCGGAGAATTTGATTTTTGTGAAGATTTTTGTATATAAAATTTAATTTGTTTGATTATTTTAGCTGAAGCACACCCTCAGGGAGGAATTTCCTGGTGCTCAGAGCTAGTTCGGGGGAGATTCATATCAATATATACTTTTTAATTACGAATTCTACATTCTGTGGCAAATGGACACCGTCCGAAGTCATCTCTCTCACAAAACAACAAACAAATTACGAATTGTTAAAAATTGTATTTGTCAATATGGGGTCTATTCTGTAACAATTCCTTTATATTTAACGGCCTTTAAAAATATTTTCTTCTTTACTTCTGTCATTATTTAAACGGATCTTTAAAATACATTAGAGGACTATCTTAAAGAAAGTAATGACAGAAGTAAATTAACGAATACGAAAATATTTTTAAAAGCCGCCAATATTTTTAAAGGTCATTAAATATAAAGGAATTGTTACAGAATTTGGCATTCCAACGACCTGTCAAACAATAGGTGCCAGTGGGAAATTCTTGTATATTTAAGGGGGTAGCGACATAGTCTTGCAACTTGGACGCTATTTTTATTCGAAGTAGTACTCGCCAAGCCTGCCAATTTATGAAGAAATGTATAAGTGGGTTTTTTAAATATTATTTTTATTGTGTTTGACATAAAATATTTAAATGTAATCCATTATTCATGATTTTACGTAAAGTAGATAGAATACACCATATGTCGCCACCCTTAGATATACCAAACCTGCCCACTGGTAATTCATTTGTTTGGAATGCCTAATAGACCCCATAGTCCATTATTACCTAAATTGGCGCTGCTGTCACGCACGGAGCGAATACCACGGACAGAAGTTGAAATCTGGGATGACATTTTTATAATAAAAATGTTTTATCAAAAATAAAAATTGACGCATCTGAGCATTTTTCTCAATTTTCTAAAATAACGCAAAAATGATTTTGTTTCATAAGTACTTGTATAATGTACAAATATGATGTTTTACATTTTCCGCGGTTCTCGCTAAATAACGTATAGCGCCACCTGCTTTCACCATTCGTGCCTTAGAGAGAAAGCAAATCTATATTTGGACATATACAGATAGGAAGGTAAAACTTAACAGAATTTTTCATGTAGCACCAAATCTTAAGTGCATGCAATCTTTTTTCTCAATGGTGTATATTAAAATGTATTTTAGACAAAGTTCACTTGAATCCCGTCACTCGAAAAGTCACTACTAGTACTAGTAGTACTCAAGGGGCAACAATTTGGGAGGAGTGGACTCCTTGGTCAAGCTGTAGCGTAAGTTGCGGCAAGGGGCGTCACATTCGATGGAGGCACTGCAAAGCAAACTGCATTGAAGCTGAAACTGAGATGGAAGAAAAGACTTGTCAGATGCCCGCCTGTCCTCAAAAATTATTTGGTTTGATAAACTTGTAATAATTGTATATAATAAAAATAATAAAGTAACAAAAATACTTAATTTTCATTATTTTTATACGGGGATTTTATAATACATATTGTTCTATTTCCGTTTTACAATAAATACGTTTTGAAATGAGGGTCATTTACTACAAGGAAACGGGGGAGGAAGGAAACAGGATGAATGAAACGGGGGAGGAAGGACACGGGGGAGGAAGAGATTGGGGTGGAAAGGAAACGGGGGAGAAAGGTACGGGGGAGGAAGGAAACGGGGGATTAAGGAAACGGGGGATTAAGGAAACGGGGGAGAAAGGAAATGTGGAAGGAAAGACACGAGGGAGAAAGGAAACTGGGGAACGGCGGAGGAAAGAAGCGGAAGAGAAAGGAAACCGGGCAGGAAGGAAACGAGGGAAAAGGAATGAAACGGGGAAGGAATGAAACGGGGGAGGAAGGAAACGGGGAAGGAATGAAACGGGGAGTAAGGAAATGGGGGAGGGTGAAATAGAAATAAATAAAAACAAATAAAAATAAATAAAAATCTGATGTGTCCAACACATGACTTTCCTATCTAGTTATATAAATGTTTAGAGGATAAACTAAATATATACATTGTCCACATACATCTACCTCGAAACATTTTTCTATAGATATTCATGGAAAACGAAAATACTGAAAAATTTTAATTTCCTACAATTTTTTCATTACGGTCCATTTTAAAAAAATCATGTATAAACAAAAATTATAGAGATCGATATCGCAAACAACTTTTATTTCAAAAATCAGAATTTTGCACATTTTGTCAAATTTCTCGAATACGGACCATTTCAGGAAATTTTTACATAAAACAAAAATTACAGATAATAATATTAGAAGTAACTTTTATTTGAACAATTTTCCTCTCCAAACATAAATAACAGATATATTCCATAAAATATAAAAACGGCCTCCCATAAAGTACCCCCCCCAGATGTTCCGACTTTGTCCAAAATCTAATCGTTTCACGTCAGGCCGAAATAAACCTTAAGTTTAAAATTTAATGTTTTTTTCTTTATCTGTTTTTGAGTTTTTTTCAAAATTCGAAATTTACACATTTTCTCAAATATCTCGAATACGGTCCATTTTAGAGAAATTATGTAGAGAATAAAAATTATAGAGAATTATATTACAAACAACTTTTATTGAAACAATTTTTATAAAAAAATATTTTTTTTACATTTTGTCAAATTTCTCGAATACGGACCATTTTAGGAAAATTTTGTATAGAACAAAAATTATAGATAATAATATTAGAAGTAACTTTTATTTAAAGAATTTTCTTCTCCAAACGTAAATAACAGATATATTCCATAAAATATAAAAATGACCACCTATAAAGTACCCCCCCAAATGTTCCGACTCTGCCCAAAATCTAATCAGCTCATAAGACGCTGAAACAAAGCTTAAGTTTAAAATTTGGTGTTTTTCTGTGTATCGGTTCATGAGTTATGCGTTATACAGACACACACACACACACACACACACACACACACACACACACACACACACACACACACAGACACACAGACACACAGACACACACACAGACATCATCGCGAAAATAGTCAAAACGGATTCAGGGGACCTCAAAACGTAAAAATCCGTCGAAAACTCAAGGTCGAAAAAAATCATGATTCCTATACTTTCCTTATATCTGTATACAGATAGGAAAGTAAAAATAAATAAAAATAAATAAAAAAAATCTGATGTGTCCAACACATGACTTTCCTATCTAGTTATTACAGGCTTTTTCCGTTTATTGTGTACAACCTATTGCAGCATCTCTATAAATGTTTAGAGGATAAACTAAATATATATACAATGTCCACATACATCTACCGCGAAACATTTTTCTATAGATATTCATTTAAAATGAAAATACTGAAAAATTTAAATTTAGCACTTTTCCTACAATTTTTCCATTACGGTCCATTTAAAAAAAATCATGTATGAACAAATATTATAGAGATCGATATCGCAAACAACTTTTATTTCAACAATTTTCATAAAAATCAGAATTTTGCACATTTTGTCAAATTTCTCGAATACGGATCATTTCAGGAAATTTTTACATAAGGCAAAAATTATAGATAATAATATTAGAAGTAACTTTTATTTGAACAATTTTCTTCTCCAAACATAAATAACAGATATATTCCATAAAATATATAAACGGCCTCCCATAAAGTACCCCCCCAGATGTTCCGACTTTGTCCAAAATCTAATCATTTCACGTCAGGCCGAAATAAAACTTAAGTTTAAAATTTATTGATTTTTTCTTTATCCGTTTTTGAGTTTTCTTCAAATTTCGAAATTTACACATTTTCTCAAATATCTCGAATACGGTCCATTTTAGAGAAATTATTTATGGGACAAAAATTATAGAGAATTATATTACAAACAACTTTTGTTTGAACAATTTTTATAAAAAAAAATATTTTTTACATTTTGTCAAATTTCTCGAATACGGACCATTTTAGGAAAATTTTGTAA